TGGAAATTCGGATGAGTAATTGCTCAAATGTTGCACAATGCAGCGCGCTATGATTGACAGACTTGTGGGGCAGCTGGTTAAAGGGGGGCGCAGGCAAAAATGCAAATTGACAGGCAAACACCTCGAGACGCTGCTCAGCGATAATAAAAGCGTGAGATGGAGCCAATTAGCTTATCAGCGTGACAAAATCGTATTCATATACGAATTCGGCAGCTCGCAACTCGCAGCTCGCGGCTTGCGGCTCGCAGCTCGTTTTGAAATTCAAATGTGGCAGGTTGCAAGCTGAACGGGGCAACTTTGCTGCTGCTGCTGCTGCGGCAGCTAAGTAAACAAAACGATTTGACTTTGGACACGGAGTCGGCGAACGCAGAGCAAAGTGCGCAGACCGCGGTCACAGCAGGTGTCGCTGTCGGTGTCGGTGTCGATGTTGTTGTTGTTGCTGTTGTACGCCTGTGGGCGTGGCTGAACTTTCACAAATTAATAACACTTGAAATGGTAGCCAAGTGCAGAACGTACTGGCAAGGCAAGTAGAGTCCGCGGCAGAGTTCAACAGCAGCCGGATTGAAGTCCAATCGGAGCGGCATTATAATTGAATTCGCGAGGCGAACGGAGCAACAGAGGAACGTTTCCAACAGTTGTGGAGAAAAGGCAGAGAACACAATTTCCAAGAACTCGCCACAGTTGCAAGCACACACACAACACACACATACAGATACATAAATACATATGTTATATATACATTTGTTATACATATAAATAAAGCATTAAGCAAATGTAAATAAAGACTCGAACAGCAAGTGGCGTGGCCTGGGGCAGGGTCCAGAGCTTGAAGTTGGGATATTTTTCAAATGTGCTCGAAATTCCTGCGGAACTGCGAATAACATGCCGCAAAGGCAGCTGCAACAGCAGCTTAACCAGAAAATTAGCGATCTGCCAGATGAACGAGAGATAAAACTCTGATAAAACGGTGCGTATGATTGATATTTGACAGTAAAAGAATACCCTGTATTCAGCTTTAAAAAGGGTAGCCTTAAAACTGAGTGAAAGCAAGTAACAGTGAGCTAGTTAGGAATGCTCGAATGGGAGATACCCTGTAGACAGCACCGATTTGTGTCAAGATACATTTGAACTTTCCTCTATATGATATGGCAAAAAAATAAAATTCGTTGTTATCGATATATATCGATTGCTAAGAATTGGGAACAGCTATCGATAATAGGGAAAGAGAGAGCGATGGAGAAGGCATATGCTTAACTAGATTATATATATACTTTATAATCAAGTTTCTGTATAATTATGCTTGTTACATGCACTTGCATAAAACTAATGTACCCCCTCGTAAGAGTTTCGAGCTTTTCAATTAATATGAACTTCGTTAAGAATTATAGCTTTACGTAACCTTTCTAATAAAGGGTTGCTTAATAGTCGATAAAATAGCTTTAAGCCTTTTCTATCTTAAACCGAGCGATCGAAACCCATTGAGCCAAGCACATGACGCACGGCCGCAGTAAAACAGAGTAATAAAAAAATAAACGTAGTCTCGATAAACGCGGCAAGTGCAAATGGATCCGGCAACGGGTTCGAGGTTCGTTATTTGGTCAATGGCCCGCCTAGAAAGGGGCGTAGTCTAAAATAAGCGCGGCTCAGCTGCGGATCGGGTCGCTACACCCAGACTCCAAGCGCGAAGCTCTGAGAAACGGAGGCAGGCACGGAGGAAGGGAAGCAGGGAGGTAGGGACGAGCCGGCAGACTAAGTGGCTTCTCTTTTGGTTCTCTTTGCGGTTCTGGTTCTCGGGGGCTGTCCCGCGTGCGCTGGTAATTTGTAAATTGGTTCATAATTCGGTTTCATCAGCGCAGCTCACCCGCCCCGCCCCCGCCCCCGCGCCCACGCAGCGCTCTACAGTTACAGCTGAAGATCCAAGAATTTTAGCTAAAGTCATTTTGTATATACACAACTTGTTGTGTTGTTTTCTTGCTGTGCTTATGTTTTTTTTTTTTTTTTTCTCATTTTTTTTTTTTTTTTTTTGTTTTTGGAGACAGCGGCAATGCGTTCGTTGGCTTCTTTTGTTCGTCTGCGCTCTGCTCGTGGGGGAAAACAATCCAAAAGCTCACAAATGAAATGGGTACAATCAACTAACTGTAAATAGTTTTTATTTCTGCTTCTTCTTCTTCATCCTCCACTTCCATCAGTTTCTGTTGCTTTTTGTTTTGGACGCTGCTGTGTGCCAGTTTTGCTTATGAACGGACAGTCAGAGAGACGGGCAGACAGAGAGACGAAGAGACCAATCGACAGACAGCAACAACGCGTTATAATTTTCTATTTTCTACAAGTTGCGATTGCCTCTGCTACGGCTTGTTGTTCGCCTGCCGACCCCTCCCCCTCCGACGCCTCTGGACACCCCTTGAGAATTAGTCTAAACATATTCAAAGTTGTTTCGACCAAACATCAAATCGCATTTGGCATATGCGAAATTTGCATATTTGCTCACTTGTTAATTAATAAACTTCGCTAAACGTAAACAAGAAATTCGCTGAGAGTGCTCGACTAACTGATGCCCTGTACTAAACAAGAGATATAGCAAAAGTATTTGAACAATTGATAATATTTCTCTGCAGCTGTCAATTCATATTTGTATACATAAATATAAGCCCTGACAAACGCTTTTACAAAAGCCATACACCCGCTTAACTTATATTTATGTTTACAGGGTGTACGAATATTTCTCTTAAATGTATCGAATAAATCTCCAAGTGTTGACATTATCACATCTGTTAATTTAAGCGCATGTTTTGACAGTTTACTGCCACTAAAATTCTTAAATGCCAAAAGTTAAAGTTATTTTATTCTCTTAACAAAAAGGTGATAGCACAAATTATGAACAAATCAACATTTGAAATTTGATTTTGCACATTTACCTGGCTGACATAATTGATTTAAGTAATCGAGGTCTTGTGTGCATCACAACTCTATTGATACCATAGCATAATCGTAATTTACCTGAACTGACTTTGACATTTTGCGTGACAGCTGAGAAAACTAAATGATATCTATATATAGTCGTAGGTACCCTACATATATGGACACAAGACACACATTGCCAGGCGCACTCACAGAAACTCCAGTTAGAGCTATTATTATATATATGTACATAGGCAGCGTTTGGTGATGGGGTGGGGTGGGGTGGGGTGGGGGAGGGGAGGAGTACAGGTCGAGTGTTGGCTCGGCTAAACAAGGAGGTCAATGCATGAAGGTTAGCGGCAATTTGTGTCGACAACATCGTCAGATGCTGCAGCCGAAACAAAAGCAAAGCAACACCAAAAGCCAGCCTGAACCGTTGTTGCTCGTCAGATCGATGAAATGGCAACAACAACAACAAGAGGGAGAAGCAGAAGAAGAAGAACAACAACGACGACGACAACAGCAACAACAACAATAAGTCAATTGCATTGGCAATAATAAATAGAAGAGAAACTGCAGCAGAAAAAACTGTTGTTTGTTGCTAACAAAAGCAAAGGAGAGACCAACCCTCTTCCCTGCCCCCCTCCCCACGCCTATCCACCCAAAGCCCCGCCAGTCATAGCAGGCGTCCCCACACGTCCAGAGATCGGCAACAAGCTAAACAAAATGCTTCCTCATCGCCGCCGTTTGGCCTAGCGGATTTACAATGGATGCGCATTGCCTGCTTGTGCAGGCAGAGAGCGAGAGAGAGAGGGTGGGGCGGGGGAGGGGGGTAGCGGAGGCTAACCAGTTAGGCGTTCGAATTGGGCGTGCGAGGGAGACAGCGCTAGCGCTGACGAGCGAGAGAGAGACGGAGACGCCGGTATCAGTTGACGGTCGATGCGTGGTGGAATGCTTCGCTGCGCGGATCCAGAAATTGGCAAACAATAAAAGCCGTCAAAAAGTGCAGCCAACATGGCAACAATAACAAATAGAAGCGACCGAGAGCGAGAGGGAGAGCGAGAGAGAGCAGTCAGCAGAGCAACAAAAACAAAGCGCAGCAACATGAAGCGAATAGAAGAAAAGCGAATAGAAAAAAACAACAGTTTGAAAAGTTGATTGTTTAGTTGAGGCATAACAAAAAAAGAAGAAAAAAATACTGTTGTTGGCTGACTCTAAAAAGTGGAGCGTCGATTTGAGCAGCCAGAGAAAATGCCCTGGGCAGGGGGAGTGCTTGCGGGGAGGGGCGGGGGAGAGGCGTGCACAGAGCTGCAATTGCAGTTGCAAATGAACTGCGGGGCTAAGCGCCGAGTGCGCATTCTGAGACTGATCTGAGTTCACATGAGCGAGCGAGCGAGAGAGAGAGAGAGAGAGAGAGAGGGAGAGCGCAAGATCTTACCTGGTGAAAGATACATTTCAACTCTTGTCAAAAATGAAAATCCACTTCAAACTTGTGTGTGTGGCAAACAGACAAATGTGTTGGAAGAAAGCGCACAGGGAAAACAAATCTGTGGAAAGGGAGCACAACTGCGCAGCCGCCGTTGACTGACTGACATTTTATGGCAGTTTTCTTCGTCTTCTTCTTTTTTTGTTTTTTGACTGAAACGCAAAAGGCGCCTGAAGTGTAGCCTGACAAATGCATAAGACTTGACGCTGTCGCTGCAGCTGGAAGTTGGAAGTTGGCAACTGCCAGTGGAAGCCGCAGGCTCTATCACAGCAAATATGCAGCGACGTCTCGCGGCCTGACAACAACAACAACAACTACGAATGCTGATGACGACAGCAACGACGACGTCGACGTCGACGTTGACTTGTAGCAATTGAATTTTTGCACGTCGCCCATGAAGTTGTTTGTTTGCTTGGCATCATACCCCATTACCCCCCCCCCCCCCCCCCTTGCACAACCCACCACCCCTTCGCCCGCTGATCATTGTTGCTGTTGCACTTGGATGAAAAATAGTAGAAACAGTTAACGAAAAGGAGGAAAATGTTTGTGTGCCTGATTGTTTGTTGTTGTTGTTGTTGTTGTTGCTGCGCGCATATTTATGTTTGCTTTGACTTACCGTTAGACGGTTATATGGCGGATTACATTTGGCACTGCTGGCAAATTATCTGTGCCGAGTATCTTTTTCCAGCTCGAAGTGAAGCAAAGTGTTTGATGCTTGTTGTTGTTGTTGTTGTTGCTGGCCAGTTACAAGCTACAAGTTGATGCCTCATGGATAAGCCTTTGTGTGCAGCGAGTAGATTCTCAGGCCTACACAGAGAGAAAAATGTGAGCGCATTTAGTATATTAACTCTAAAAGAAGTTCTTAACTCTTTAATATGATCTTAATTGTTAAATATGTCCAGGTCTTTTATGAAGCCAAGTTTGCAGACAAGTCGCATCTAATTAGACTTTACGCATGCAAACTGCAATTGTATAAATCTAATTGCTTTTTAATTACACAAGTCTCTTTTAAGTATACAAGTTTTACCCCAATTAAATAACTTTTTTGAATATAATATAATGCTCTTCCTTCTTATTTTCACTATGAATCCGACTGGAATCTAATCAGACTTTGAAGCATTAAAATTTTCTCAAATTTACTCCATTTGGCAGCTTCAATCTTCCATTATGCCATCTTCTATTCTTTCGACTTACAATTTCTCTTGCTTATTTTAAGAAAATCAATTCAATCTGATCAGAATTTGTGACAAATTAATTGATTAAAGCCCAGCCACATTTCCCTACTTTATAAGTAATTCACTATTAGCTCCATCTTTTCTCCTGTTCTACAGCGCATATATATTACGTTTTTCCCAGCCATTCACTTCTGGCCAGCTAATTGTTGATGTCTTTGGAGACCTCCTAGGGATTTGGGCATTACTAATGATGATATGCCATTGCCTTTGGGGCATTTTCTGTGTGAAATACTGCGACCCGTTGTTCAATTTACTGTTCAACTTTCAACTTGCCGGACTTTCGCAGCAAGTGACACACACACACACACATACACATATACTCAATGGTAAGAAATAAAATCAAAACAAGAAAATTAAAAAAAAGGAAAGGAAAGGCCCCTCCGCATAGCTGCAGCTGCCCACCTGTCCTCCTGCCCAGCTGCCCCCCACCTAGTCCCCCAGCAGCCGCCATTAGACGCTCGTTTCGCACAACTTTCAAATGGCTGCGCGATCGTTGGGCTACGAAATTCGAGTATCGAGTATCGAGCATCGAGTATATTTGAGTATTAGTTGAGCATTTGAGTCGCTTTGTTTTGGCCAACTCGAACAGGGTCTTAAAGCTATTGGCGTTTGGCATAATTATTGTTGTATTTGTTGTCGTTGTTGTTGCTGCTGGTAATTGTTGCCGCTTTTTGCTTGACGGGGCGGCATCAGAAAAGAAGGTCGCACAAGGTGGTCCGAGCTGAGCCGAGTTCGTTTCGCGCTACCCTCACTGCGGGTACTTTGGCTTTTTGGTAGCTCTCAACAAAATTTGTGGCAATTGTCAAACAGATTCTGAATAAATGTATCTGTGAACTGGTTTCATATCTAGCTAGCAGTTCTCTTAGTATAGTCCTATACAAATTGTAGACGTGCTTTTAAATTTATATTTTGTACATCGTTTCTCTCTATTTAGCTGTCCGAAAATGTTTGATTGGCTGTTTTCGTCGGCGATCTTTGGTCTATTATTCGCTTTGCTGCCATTGGTGTATATTTTCCGTAAGGCAATCCGGCTGCAGAAACAAAAGCGGAGCCTCAAGCTCCATGCATCTCTGCGAGATGCGTTGCGCACACGGCTCCAAGTGGAACCAGTCGAAGAATTGCCTGAAAAGCCGCCGTCGCCAATACAGACCGGCTGTTTTATCGATGCCGAGCAGCTGCAGCTGATGAGGGGCACAGTGGATCTGATAACCTATCGGCTGTCCCTGATCGAGTCCAGCATCTACAAGGATCTCAATCCCAAGCCGCATCTGACCAACGAGGAGTACATCGCGGCAGCCCAGCAGATGAGAGACGTAGTGCGTCGTTTGAAGCGAATGCCTAAAATACCGATGCCAATGCCAGTATCGATACCAATGGAACTTATAGACAGAAGTATATCTGAGGGTTCTCTGCACACGGAAGGATAGATGATAGCACATGAAGTGGGCATATGCAATGGCTATGTCAATACCAAAAACAAAACCTTAATACGAACATGTGTATAGACATGGAACACACTGTTCCAACAACAAGCTTAATATACAATTAGGTGAAATTTATAGTTTATATATGGGCGGGCTATATATATATATATAAATATATATATATATATATATATATATATAATTCTTGATGCAGGGGTAAACTTGGCAGAGTAGGCCCAAGCTTTGGCGCCGTTTCGTTGCTTATAATTCTCAACTGCTTATACACTCTACCTAGCATGATGAGGCCAAAATTGCTGCCAAATTCAATCTTGGCAAAATGAATATAAGAAAAATTAGCAGTCTGTTGATACAATAGGGAGGCTCTAAAGGTTCTAGTTAAACAGACAAACGCCTAAAAATGCAGCTTAATTTTTAAAAACCCTTATCTTAAGATACCGCACCCATATAGCTTTATGAAGAATTGTTTGGATCAAGAATTTTAGTTTAAGCAATTTATTTTTTGCAAGATATCTTGATTTATTTATTTTTTGCAAGATATCGAACTCAGCAATTGCAAGCTTGACTCTACTCCTAACATAAATGCAGAAACCTTATCGAATCGAACTACCATATTATAAAGCTCCTTTAGGAACAATCGATCCTCCTTTAGAGCATTCAATCTTCGGCTTGCCAGTGATAGCTCTTTTTCTATTTTTTTGCCTATTGTATTTTCGTTTGATTTGTCTTTGAAATTAATGTGCCAGATTTGAAAACCTGTAACGTCAGCTGGCTACAGATCTGGAGTCGCAGCCAGAGTCGTTGACGGAGCGTATTGCCCGAAGAAACAGCTGAGGAATTGCAATCAAAGCGCTCTCTTTTCTTGACTGTGTCACGCCTCCCTGCCTCCCCCCCCTCCCCTCATACACACACACACCACGACTGCTTTACCTTGCTGCTGCTATTGATTTTCACCTGGAATCAATCCACCGTTTTGGCCATCTACAGTTCGCACAGCTATTCAGCTAGATCTGCTAACCATATGTATATAAAAGTTTGTGTACACATAAAAGCCATGCCCCGTTTTGTTGCCTGCTTTGCTCACATGCTCCATTGTTTTTGTTGTTGTTGTTGTTGCTGCTGCTGCTGCACGTCGCTCACTTGCCAATTTTTGTTGCCGTTTTCCGCTTTGGCATTGACGTATTGCTGGGAAGGGGGCGTCACACTCTGATATTTGTCGCTGTTTATTGCTAAGCAATTTTTTGGCAATAGTTTCGCAGTCGCTTGGCTTCGCGTAGGCGCTCAGCGTTTTCTCTAGCTCTCTGGCCGTTTCTCTCGTATAATTGAATTTGTTGTCGAGGCTGGCACAACAAAGCAGCGGCATTTGCATGCAGCGAGCACCTAATAAACTGAACTTTAAAGTTGCGCCATGGGGCACAGAAGTTGGTCAGAGAGTTGATCGGCGCAGTTGTCAATCAAAAAGTCAAATTCCAACTGTCCAAAATGCGCAATTTGTCTGCACAATTGAGACGGAAAGCGAATGTGACATCGAGCTGAGAATGCGACGAGAGGCCGCCAGCTAAAGCACAAACACACAGACAGCTCACATATTGCGCATACGCCGCGTGCGCCGGCACATTTAATAACTACGCGAGTTACGAGCTCTGGGCACGCGAATCAAATCGCATCGTAACGTATCGAAACGCCAATCGACTATCGACAATCGACTCAGGAATGCAGCCAGCGCGAACATGCGACAATTCACAATCACAATTACAACAAAAACAGCCGCTCTCATGGCTAAAAGCTTGAATATTAACCCACTGCAATTAAAGAATATTCCATAAATGAGTTGGAGAAACTTGAAATGTTGGGTTTACTTTAGCCGCCGAGCTGCTTTCATTATTATATATACTTTTATCAAGGCTGTAAACCAATTTGAAGTTACTTATTGAATACGAACATGGAGAGAGAGAGGAAAGAGAGAGCGGAGATAGAGACAGAGAGAGAGAGAGAGAGAGAGAGAGAGAGAGAAAGAGAGCATAAGAAGCGATGAAGTATTATAAAGTTAACACTTATAACCAAAGAATGTAAGACTGAGAACCTTACTTAAATTCGTGAGAATCACAAAGAAGGGCGATATTTAATAATACGATTATATTCAATTTGCGACCCAGTGTTGTAGTTGATCTGTCAACAAACAGTCGAAATATATTTGAATATATCTTTGCCTAGCATTATCTTAGACTTCATAGATACTCCCCGGGCAAATTGAAGCCCAAACTAATTACTATCCATAACCATGCTAGCTGAAGGTCATTTTGCCTTAGCTTTTACTTCTATTTAAGCAAATAAATCTTGTCTTTAATCAGATTTTGCTCTATTCAATTGGATCTTACAAGACTAATGCTCACCAGAAAAATGACTGTCAAGAATATGCAATAACTATTTGTGCAAAGCAAATCTCAATGGGTTAATCGCATTGTGTGTTGACAATTGACAAAGCCAAACAAATGTTAAACAATAAGCAAATAATTTTTCACATGACATGCAAATTTAGGATCGGGCAGGCAATTGGGCAGCCGGTTTAACCATTTGTGCAACATGTTGCCATTGGCCGAACGCATTTTGGCGATCAACTCTCAACCGCCACGCCAGACGCTCAAACAACCACATCTACATGTAACACACAGCAGCAACAACAATCTCAGCAACAACAACAATCAGCTATAGGTCTATATAAAGTTATTCGATTTCTATGCTAATCGAATTGCAACGCATACAACTGCGTAATGAGTTTGCCGTTTGCCGCTTGACTTACATATGTTAACAGTTTCTGCTGCTTGAATACCCTGTAATTTTGAAAAAATCTACACTTGCAGGGTGTCCGAGACTATAACATATGAGCCTTCATCTTTTCACATTCACTTGCGGTGATTTTCAGGCGAAATATATGGCTCCCTGACTGACTGACTGATGATCAAAATACAGCGCAGACCATAAGATCTAGAAGTTTGATATTTTGGACTCTTCTGAGAATTCCACAAACAAATGTGGAAAATAAGTGCAAATTTATTAAACTATCCTAACAGCTTTGAACTCATTTTGAAAGATCTTTTAGAAAATTCATTGACACCCTGTTTAATAGTTTCATAAAAATATATGCCGTCTGGCCAGAATATGGCTTAAAGTTTCTTTGGATAAAGTCTTAAAGAGAGCTTGTTACAGAGCATCATTTAGTGCCATCATTGACACATTCACTTTTATTTATTGTTGCTAATGTTAGGTGTTAATAGGTCAACAACATTGTGTTGTCTTTAAATGCCAACTGTTCCAAGTTTGAACCCTATATAAACTATAGCTTAGATCGTATTCATGACATAAGTACAAGTTTTTGAGCTGTGCATATTTAGGGCCAAGCTATCGCAGCAAGTGAATCGTCGGCGTCAATTGTTGCAACAGCTACGTGTCACGATCCCAGCGCCCAGAAATCACAGAGAGCACAAACTGGCAGTCAGACAGACGGACAGAGAGACGGACAGACAGACAAATGAAGCGTTTTGAAAAGCTGCCTCACATGTGAGCCAAAGGTGCAGAGTTATGGTTATGCCTATATACACTTATATGTGCCAAAAAACCAACGGCAAGCTCGACTAAAAGATGCCCTAGACATAAGTATTATACAACACGGAAGTCCAAAAGGGAAAAGTTGTTTGAATTGTATCAAATAATACGCTGGGTATTTACGCAACAGGGCCGTGTCTTAACTACAGGGTATGGCAACAACAATGGGCAGCAGCAATTGGTGAAAAATCGCCACAAATGAGCAGCGCGAAAAGCGACGACTGTCGAAATTGTTTGGCTATAAAACTAACCACAAAGTAGGAGCCCAGCTTGAGAATGGACAGACGACAGACTCGCGGCTCTGTCATATCGCAGACTTCATTCATATGGGAAACTGGGAGCCGTTCGGCTGGCACAGTTTGGTTGCCGCAGGTTGATGCCGATTGCCGCCGAGCCCAGCAACATTTTGCGGCAATTGCAACTTTATTTTGCTCGTTGTTCGAGGCACAACAGCACAAAATATTTGAACGTCGTCAAAATGTCAGCGTGGCAAAATTTAATAAACAGCAACAGCAACAGACAGCGGCAACTTTTTAGCGACGCGTGTTGCCAACATGTTGCATAAAGTACAACAAATAAAAAAGAAGTAAATATATAAATGCAAACAAAAAAACAAGGCGAACTGACAACGAAAATATGTTGCACGCGTCGCTGCTCCGATTTTTGTTGCATTTTTGCAGCACATTCCCAATTTGTGAGCCGCCCCAAAAAAGGATGCAGGGTGTGTGTGGCACACACACACACACATTTATTTGTCATGCCGGGCAAACACCAAAAGCGCACAAATTCCCACGTTTAGTTTTATTTTTCTCGTTTTTACAGTATTTCAGTTATTGTGCGTGTCTTGCGAAATATGGTTTAATTAAATTTGTTCGCTTGAATGAAAATGCAAAAAACCAAAACAATTTATCATTTGTATTTTAATTTTGTTGTTGCCATATTTAGTCAAATGTATTGGCAAAACAAATTGATTAATTGATTTAGTCTCCATCTCATCTCAATGAGAACTTTCCCAGCTCTAAAGGGGCCCGCATGATCGATGATGCGCTTCCGCGGTTGCACGCTGCGTATGCGCAATGTGCGAGGACGCGATATGGGTTCAAACCCAGCCCCAAAAGCCCAACCGAATGCTGCGTAACACGCGCGTTGGCTGCAATATTGATGCCAGGGCCAGTCGAAAGTGACGACGTTTGAACGCGAGCCCCGCTCAGGTCTGCCGCCCTCCCTCTGGCAAGCTTAGTTGAGCAAACACTCATTAATCATCTGCCCAGCTGAACTGAACGAGTTCCTCAATGATCGCCGCAGCTGCAGCTGAAATGGAGTCTGCGCCGGAGTCAGCTTCATTCAAGTGCTGTCCATGCGCCAAAAGTGATTGTTTTCGTATTACATAATCGCAAAAAAAAGCTACCTACAAGAAAGTAAAGCAACTGAGCAAAACATAACGAATACGTCGATACACTCTCCCAAAGTGGAACACGGAAACTAAATCCTCACAAAGTTAAAGATCTTAAGAGAGTTTGTTAGAGCTTCGCAATTGTGATAAGAGCTGGAACCAGCAGGAATAATCGATAGTTTATTTAATATATCGATAAGTTGTAGCAAAGAGTTTCAAATGTTTGATTCCAAGCCTGCAAATCGAAAAAATTGAAGGCGGTATTTCAACCGTTAACTAAGAACCGAATCTATAGCCAAACCAAATACAGCCGAACTTAAAGCAGAACCTAGTTAAGTAAATCAAAAAGTTTGGTTTTTAATAAAAGTAGAAGTTTAAATAGAGTGAAATAGAAGATTTAAAAGATGTTTTAATATAGAAGTTTTTAAGTTTTTGTTTAAGTTCTTCTCTTCCCAGGCAGAACTAAGAAGAACTCACGTTCCTGACCTGGTCGGGGTCAGTGCACGGGAAAAGCCAGTGGTTCGAACCCTGCCCTCAACCAATCACAATTTAATTGTACGACTTGTTGTCCAGTCTATAGATTGGTGTTCCTTTAAAGCAGCTTGGTCTTATTCCCTCTTTCAACATACACTAAATACTCACATTACCTGACTTCCATCGCAGCTACTCGCATCTCCCCATGATTTTTGACAAATTGAATGACATAATCAAGCAAACCCAAACTCTAGCCCCAAACCCACTATCAAAACCGAAAAAATCGTAACAATTCGTGCAAATGGAGCCACAACAATTGACTCTTTATGGATGTGACTACATAATCATCAAGAGCATCTCTCCGAGGGCGACGTTTTCGCTTTGCCAATGCCTGGTGGCCACTTGAGCGCCCAGTTGGCAAACACCATGAGTTAGTTATAGACACCGTCGACGGCAACGATGACGCCGCCGGCGGCTGTTGTTGTTGTTTTTGGTTGTGGCTGCACTTGGCGCGTTTGTTTCCGGCGACAGCTGGCGTTTAGGGGGCGGCTGGAGGTGTTGCGCCAAGGCCAGAGGAACGCATAATCACACGCTCTATAAAAGCTGTCGATTCACCTGGCAATGGCATCAGTTCAGCTCTTTAGCTCATTTCAACCAGATCCACGTTTAATATGAAAGTCTTCCTCTGTTTGCTGGCGCTGGGCGCAGTTGCCAATGCGGGTTACATTGGCGGTGGCGGCGGCGGCGGCGGCGGTGGACACGGACATGGACATGGCGACTCCGGACCTGCACCCGAGGTCAAAGTTATCAAAGTGATTCATGAATCGGCACCTTCCCAGGGCGGCTGGCAAGCAGGCGGTGGTGGTGGCGGCGGCGGTTGGCAATCAGGTGGCGCTGGAGGCGGCGGTTGGTCAGCGGGAGGCGGCGGCGGTGGTGGCTATGGTGGCGCCTCTGGCGGCGGCTATGGCGGTTCTCAAGGGCAAGAGGTCAAGATAATCAAAATTATCTCGCAGCAATCTTCCGATGGTGGCTATGGAGCTGGCGCTGGTGGTGGCTGGTCAGCAGGTGGTGGCGGCGGCGGCGGCTCTGGCTGGTCCGCTGGCGGTTCAGGCTCTTCGGGCTGGTCATCTGGTGGTAGCGATGCCACCGCAGCTGTCAAAATCATCAAAATCATCTCGGAAAGCAGCTCAGATGCTGGCTCTGGTGATGCCTCGGGCTGGTCCGCTGGTGGTGCAGGCGGCGGCGGCTATTCCGCTGGTGGTGCAGGCGGTGGCGGTTGGTCTGCTGGCGGTGCAGGTGGCGGCGGCTGGTCAGCGGGCGTTTCTTCAGGTGGCGGATGGTCATCGGGGGCTCCTGCCAGCGATGGCTGGTCCTCTCAAGGTGGCAACGGCGGCGGCTGGTCCTCGCAGGGCGGCGGCAGCTGGTAAAAAAGTTTCCACAACTCGTGATAAGCTCAAGTCTCATTCTGCCTCATCTCATGCTCATTTCATTTACTTGTTGTTTTTTGCTCGCCTTATTTGTTGAATAAAAGTCTTTATAATTTCCACAATCGATATTTTCCTTCAGCTGGGTTTAGGGTTTGGGTGGAGACGCGAAAAATCGTCTCAAACTTTTCCATTTAAGGCACGACAAAAAAAAATGCATTTCAGAGTCGAAAACAAAAGAGAAAGAAAACTCAAAGCTCCCTCCCCCTGGCTCCCTCTCTTTCTCTTTCTTTTTCTTACCCCATCTATATCTCTGCTAAAAAAACACACTTAAGCGTAAAGTAATAAAATTCAAGCAACCAAAAAATGTCGAAAAAAGGCAAAATCCAAAAAAAAAGAAAAGTGGGCGAAATAAAGAGAAGCAGGCAGAAAATAATAAAAGACTGCTCGGGCAGCAAAAAAAAAGCGTAGAAAAATAGAAATAAAATAAAAATAGAAATATGTAAAATATCACTTTGAGGCGGCGACGCGTCGCCAACCCACCGAGAACCTAGCCAGGCAGCCAAGGATATCAAGGATACCAAGGATACTCAGACTTGCCACCGAAAAGGCCAAAAGTGCAAGAAAAAGCTTTTCCACTGCCGCACAGCGGGCCTCGTTGGGGGGCGCGCGCGCGTTTTTCTTGTATAAAAATATTTTCCATATAAATCTAACAAAGAACGTGTTCGGGTTACTTGATTAGGCGCCCAAAGTGTGCAAATTGCCGGGTGCCGGGCGGAGGCAGACCGACAGTGCGACGACGCCAACAAGAGTAACAACAGTAGCTACAACAAGTAGCGTGTCGAGTACTCTCGACTGAAGGATACCCTGTACACAGGTGCGATGAATTGCAGTCACAAGCATTCGAACTTCCTTCTATGAGCGCACGATTGTATTAATTTCTTTAGTTTTTAAATAAGGCATACAAAATGTCTGTACATACAAAAGCCCAAGACTAAATAGCTTTATGTATAAAAAAAGTAATTACTCAAGACCTGTTTAGAGATTATAAACTGCAAGTTAGACCCAAAAATCGTTGTAAACACACAATATTTAACGCTTTTATGGAAATTGGCGGATAGTTACCTTACCATAAAGACATTAGACAGAAAAAAGCGAAAGATGTAGAGTCAGGCAGACAGCTGGGCGAGCGGACAGCTGGACTTAGAGTTGGCTTTCTTCTACCTGTTACAAACAGCTGCTCGAAACAGGTGTAGCCCTTTCTGACAGGGTATAGCAGGCACGGAAAGTGGGCATATGTATAGCCCGACGACTTTTCGGTTTCCTTAACGCTTTCCAAATAAATACTTACATAGAAATAAAAGAGAGCTAAAAAGGAAGGCGCAGCAAATCCAATTTGTTGTTGTCGCGTCAAGCGTTGGCTACAGCAAATGTTGCTGCGCGGGAGAGGGGCGGGTCGGGGTAGAGAAGTAGGGGGTAGAAGGTAGCGGCTCATCAAGTTGGTTTCCATATTGATTTATTTCTTGATGGCCAGCAGGAAGTGCGCTGTGAGTGAATATTATTTTGGGACTATTGCGCAAATTTGATTTTGGATATTCTCGAGAAAATTGCTCAAATAAAAAAAGCAATAATTAAACGGGCGATCGATGCCCGCCACAGATCCCATCCAGACATCAACTTGTTGCGCCGGATAAACAAACAAACACACACAAATTACTTAATATTCGCATTTCTATATATAAACATATAGTCGTACGATCCAAGAATCTGTTAAACAGCCACAGAAAAAAAAGCAACACCATTGAAATGCCAAATTCGAAATTATTTTTGATGAGTTTATGGAAAATTTTCACCAAAAACTGAAATTTTCACAGCTTTGCCTTTGTGGATCCGTGGCCGGGGCGATTATTTCTGCGGTGCTTCTTCCAAATTTGTTATTATTTTAATTTAAATTTTGTTGATTGATGCTTTTGTTGTTGTTGCTGATGTTATTTTTTGTTATTGCCCGTTGCACGTGCAGCGCCAGAAATGTGGAAAATTGCGTGTTTGCCAAACAACAACAAATACAAGAACGCCGTTAAGCCAAAGTTAAGTTGTTCGCGAGACTCCTTTCTGGGGCGCCTTATTGACACAGTATATATCTGTGTGTGTGTGTGTGCTCGAGTGTGTGTGTGTGTGTGCTGAGTGTGTTGACTGTGGGCGCGTGTGGAGCGGCAGCATCGACAACACACTCAATGAGGCAAATGCAAACAGTTTACGCGACCCTCGTTCCCGCTAAACCCCGCTCTTCCTCCTGGCAACCAACCCCCGCGGCATGCGGCATGCGGCAAGTCGAAGCACTTATTATTATGCAATTTAGATTTATCTGAGTTGACAGACAGATGAAAGAATTAATTTCGAGTGGTTTCAAAGTCTAAAATTTATCTAAATTCAATTAATTGTTTGTCTTTAGGGACTGACCGATTGATGGGAAAACTGATTGACTTTCTGATTGATTGATCGACGGACAAACATATGACTGACTGATTGATTAAACCACATCGACTGATGCATTGACTTAAAAGCTGATTGTCTGTCTAATTGATTGACCAACTTACTGACTGATTGAATTTCTGATTGATTAATTTACTATCTGCCTGATTGAAGGAAAACTTATTGAATTGCTGATTAACTTACTTACTGACTGACTGACTGAGAGATTGACCAATTGACTGATTGGTAGATTGACAAACTGATTGACTGTCAGACTGGGTCACTAAGTGATTGATTGATTGATTGACTGACAATATACTGACTGGCGGGCATACTTATTGACTGACTGATTGATTAACTAACCGACTAAATGATTGACACGCTGATTAAATGTCCAATTGACTGATTGACTGGCTGACTGATCCACTGTCAAACGGATTGTCTGACTTGATTGACTGATTGATTAGTAAATTAACAAATTTACTAATAACTCAACGCACGTGCATAAGTGTATGTTAGTAAAGGATTTTGGGAAATTTCACCCATAAATATGGAAGGAAAACAGCTGCATGAACCTTTACTTTTGTCTACCTGACGATTTTTCGCCATTCTTTTTTGGAAACTTCACCACCATAGTCGAAAAATACACAGCAAAGAGTTGTTGCCATTATTTGATCGACTTAAATCTCAATTAAAAATTTTGCCGCTTTTATATATAATTTCAATAAAAATCAATTATAATTTTCTTAAAATTTCATTTTATTTTTCTGATTTACAAATTTAATTTGGCATCTTCACCGAGTTAAACTCCAATTTATTTATCTGTCCCAAAAACAAAATCTCCTCAATGGCCTTTTTGGCCAGCAGCTTGTTCCTTCCATCCAGCTTGCGATAGGTTATGGCCCAGCCCTCCGCAAAGATCTCAGCCTCATCACGTAAGCTGTGATTGAGATTGGGCGCAACCTGCGGCTGGAACTGAGTTGCAACGTTCATTGACGGCTCAACGGGCGGCGGCAAGTGATCCACGGGAGACTGGTTTACAGGTGATCCATTGGACACTGGTAACGCAGGCTCAAACTGAGCAAAAGTGAACGAATTTCAAATCAAGATTTTAGATACAAATCATCTAAAGATTTTCTAATACAACACTCACAACTTTGACTTCGGGCTCAGAGATGTCGTCCATTTCTTCATCATCCTTTAGATCATTATTGGAATCTTCCTCGTCTACCTGTGGATCTGGATCTGTATCATTCCAGAACTTATCCGACACATCGGAAAGATGTGAGACACGAGTTATCCTGCCATCATCAGAGCGCAAAAAGGACAATTCATTAAAGTACCACAAATGTGGCACGTAAACATCATCCGTTTTATGGGCAATTTGTTCGCTCTGCTCCACTTTGCGGAGTTCACGTCTGAAGCAAGTCCGAATGCCGTTGATCCTGCGCCGCATGACCTCCACAGTGGCCTTTGGGTCGATTTTCCGATAGCATTCCAATAATCTGTCATAGGCAGCCTTCTTCATGCGGTGGTTCTTATATACCTCGTCCGTGACCCGCCACAGCGCAGGCAGCTGGCGGTAGGCATCGAAGAACTCGAGCCACAGATCCGTTTGCGGTATGGCACTCATTCTAGTTTCACGGCTTGAAGCACACTAAAACTGCCACAGACCGAGAGAGCGCTATAAGTGCGCTCATGCCCATGTTTGATACTGTTTGCACCTTCAAACACACACTTCACACACACCAACTGCACACGTGTTGCAGTTTGAGAGAGATGTTTGATGTGCAACATGACTGACCGAGCCGTTTGCACTGCGCAAGTTGTCAAACACGCTCTAAGCGGTTGCTGCCGAACTTAAAGAAGCGTACAACCGTTTGACAACCAACATGTAGTTGGCAACAGTTGCTGCTGTTGTTGTTGTTATTGGCGTCATATCGTCGTCGTCTGCAGCCGTACAGCCATTACGTCTGGTCGACGACACTGGCAGCGCCAGACGTGCGTCGCAGTCGACGCCATTAACGACGCGACGTACCCTCATCGATTTGGCGTCGTCGTCTTCGACTCTGCATGTTTGTCGCCAAGTACTCACAACACCAAAGCACACACACACACTGACAAGTAAGGCAAAGAAAAAGTTGGCAAAATATGCACGAGACTTAAATGAGCGCAAAAGCACAAACAAAATATTATTACTAATTCATTTTGTTATTTTGTTCATTGCACCCTTTGCTTCTGTCGCGCTGTCGCCCACTAGCGACGCGTCGCCGCGACGCCGTCTTTCTCTACCCCTCTCGCTCTCCCTTTCTCTCACTCACACTTGCCTTGCACTTTTGCATTGCATCAGCCCACACGCCAAGCCTTGCCTCTCCCTCTCACTCTCCCTCAATCGCTTATTGCTTATTGCAATTCATTTGCGTGCGAGCTTTTTGTTGCATTTGTTTTGTTTTCGTTTATCGTTAAATGCTTTCAGGTGGCCGCTTCGCGATTCTTGCGCTGCTGCTGCGACTGCGGCTCGGCTGCACATC